TCGAGAGTGGCCTCGGACCCACTTAAAGTCGGTCCCCTCGAGAGTGGGCGCCGACCCATTTAAAGTCATTTAAACATGGTCCACTTGAAAGTGGACTTTGATCTATTTAAAGTTAGCTACCTTGAGAGTGGGCTATGATCCATTTAAAGGCCACATCTTTAACTGAGCTTTGATCCATTTCAAGAACGCGGGTTCAGACCTGTTTAGGGACCCAACCCCGGAGGGATGGGTTACTTGGTTGCACTGTGATCTATTTGTTAATGAAAAAATTTTTAAGAATTAATTCACGGAATCAGGGTATTGTTGGCTAGGCCAACATTTATTGCATATCCCAGAGGACAGTTAAGAGTCAACTACATTGCTGTGGGTCTGGAATCTCATGTAGGCCAGACCAGTAAGGATGGCAGTTTCTTTCACTAAAGGACATTAGAGAACCAATGAGTTTTTCCCAATAATCAGCAACCGTTTCACAGTCATCATTAGATTCTTGATTCCAGACTTTTATTGAATTGCCATGCCGAGTTTCAAATCCAGGTCCCTTGAATGTGACCTGAATCTCTGATAATGCCACTAGGCCATTGCCTCTCCTATTATTTGCCCAGTGATTCACTTGTCTTCAGAAATCAGACTTAAATTCTCAAAGACCTAAGCTTTGGAATTATTTCCCTAAATCAAATCTTTTTTTTTTGTCACTTCTTTAAGATGGTCCTTAAAACCTACATCTGACCAAGTTTTTGGTAATTGTTCTAATAACTCCTTAGGTGATTTAATAAACATGTTTGTTCTAGGATATGCCTGTGTGCCTTGGGGCTTTTTACTACGTTAAAAATCAAAGTCTTATTTTTATATAAGTTCTTTATATTAACAAACAGCTGACTCCTGGGAAATTCTTTATAACTTTTTTTGAGTCATTCACACCTCATCTGACTGACAAATGTCTATGAGCATAGATACAGTTGAAATGTGGGCTACCAAACATTACCTGACCCTCAACCTTGGGAAGACCACCTGTAACCATTGAGAACGATAGATTTTACTACCAATATTTACTTTGTAAAGGTGTCACCTTGTGTCCATTTATTAAAATTTCAGTCCTTTGACTTAATATCTGAATAGCTGTTTAAAAAATGCTTGAACAACCTGACCCCATCCAAAATGTCAATATTTCAGAAAATATAAATATAATAGAGGACTATCAACTCACTTGGCTAGATGGCTACTGTGTGGTTCACAATAATGCCAACAGTCTGAGATTCAGGGATGGCACTGTGGCTCAGTGGTTAGCACTGCTACCACACAGTGCCAGGGACCCGGGTTTGATTCAAACCTCAGGTGTCTGTCTGTGTGGAGTTTACACATTCTCCCCATATCTGCGTGGCATTCCTCTGGGTGCTCCAGTTTCCTCCCACAATCTAAAGATGTGCAGCTTAGGTGACTGGTCATGCTAAATTGCCCATAGGATCCAGGGATGTGCAGGCTGGATGGATTACAGGGATAGGGTAGGGGTGTGGGTCTGGGTGGGATAATGTTCAGAGGATTGGTGTGATGGGCTGAATGGACTGCTTCCACACTGTAGGGCTTCTATGATTCTTATTCTGGCTGACCAAGATGGATTTGTGATCTGCATCCTTGCCATGCACTGAGGGACGAAGGTAATGGCAAATCATCGCTCAAAACATCTTTGAGTAAAGCTTTACCAGACAATGAACCAAAGATCTGTCATTGCGCAGAGCAGACGTGGAACAGGAAGTAGCTGTATTTTACAGATTAATGCAGCAACTTCAATTTTAAAAGTTGATTTATTTTGGACTAAGGAGGATGAGCCAAAAGATAGCTACAAGAAAACTGATTGGGGTGATTTTTAAATGGTGGGGAGAGTTGGATTGGGTCTCGCTGAGTCACATGTTGTGGTTTCTAAGGCTGCAAGATGTAGAAGTGCCGGTGTTGGACTGGGATGGACAAGGTCAGAAGTCGCATGACACAAGGTTATAGTCCGACAGGTTTATTTGAAATCACAAGCTTTTGGAGCACTATTCCTTCTTCAGGTGAAGTGAAGAGAAGCACACAGGCACAGAATTTATAGGCAAAGTGATCAAAAGATCATACAAATGGTGTGAGTGGAGTGTTGACAGGCTGAATAATAAGTCTCTGTAGGTGATTAGAAGTGTCAGATGGTGTGAGTGAAGTGTCAACAGCTGAATAGCTGGTGAATTGAGGCAGAGAGATAATTACAAAAAATTAAAAATAAGATGATACTGGGGACAAACCAATTGGCTAGAATAACAATACATATAAGAGTCGCATGCCAAAAGTCTAACCAAAGTAACATGTAATCCAAAACTGTACAACAAATTAAGGTAGAGAAATCATAACAAGTTATTAAGGTGATGGTGTCAAAATAGGACAGTAAGGAAGATTTTACAGATACAGATCAGTATGGTGGAGTTACAGAGGAGCAGTGCTTCAAAAGCTTCTGATTTGAAATAAACTTGTTAGATTATAACCTGGTATCATGTGACTTCTGATTTTAGGCTGCAGTATGTCAGGAAGTAGCATTTGAGTTCTCAGATACAATCACGTGGGTAAACAAGATCTATGCTAGTTCATGGAGTCGTAGAGTCAGAGAGCTGTACAGGATGGAAACAGACCCTTCATTCCACTCGTCCATGCCGACCAGATATCCTAAATCAATCCAGTCCCATTTACCAGCATTTGGCCCATAATCCCTCTAAACCCTTCCTATTCATATACCCATCCAGATGCCTTTTAAATGTTGTAATTGTACCAGTCTCCACCACGTCCTCTGACAGTTCATTCCATACTTGCATCACCCTCTGTGTGAAGAAGTTGCCCCATAGGTCCTTTTTAAATCTTTCCCATCTCACCTTAAACTTATGCCCTCTAATTTTGAGCTCCGCTTCCCTGGGGAAAATACCTTGGCTATTCACCTTATCTATGCCCCTCATGATTTTATAAACCTCTATAAAGTCACCCCTCAACCTCCAACACTCTAGGGAAAATAGCCCCAGCCTATTCAGCTTCTCCCTATAGCTCAAACCCTCCAATCCTGGCAACATCCTTGTAAATCTTTTCTGAACCCTTCCATGTTTCACAACATCTTTCCCACAGCAGGGAGACCAGAATTACACACAGTATTCTAAAAGTGGCCTAACCAATCTCCTGTACTGCTGCAACATGACCACCCGACTTTGTACTCAATGCACTAACCAATAAGGGCAAGCATACCAAATGCTTTCTTCACTATCCTGTCTACCTGTGACTCTACATTCAAGGAACTATGAACCTGCTCTCCAAGGTCCCTTTGTTCAGCGACCCTCCCCAGGACCTTACCATTAAGTGTATAAGTCCTACCCTGATTTTCCTTTCCAAAATGCTGCACCTCACATTTATCTAAATTAAATTCTATTTGCCATTCCTCAGCCCGCCGACCCATCTGTTCAAGGGCCTGTCGTACTCTGAGATAATCTCTTTCACTGTCCACTACACCTCCAATTTTGGTGTGATCTGCAAACTTAGTAACCGTACCTCCTATGTTCACATCCAAATCATTTATATAAATGACAAAAAGCAGTGGACCCAGCACCAATCCTTGTGGTGTACTGCTGGCCACAAGCCTCCAGTCTGAAAACCAGCCTGACACCACCCTCTGTCCCCTACCCAGTTCTGTATCCAAATGGCTAGTTCTCCCTGTATTCCATGTGTTTAACCTTGCTAACCAGTTTACCATGCAGATCCTTGTCAAACACCTTACTGAAGTCCATATTGGTCATGTCCACCACTCTGCCTTCACCAATCCTCTTCGTTACTTCTTCAAAAAACTCAATTAAGTTAGTGAGACATGATTTCCCATGCACAAAGCCTTGTTGACTCTCCCTAATCAGTCCTTGCCTTTGCAAATACATGTGAATCCTGTGTCCCTCAGGATCCTTTCCAACAACTTGCCCACCACTGATATCAGGCTCACCAATCCACAGTTCCCTAGCATTTCTTTACCATCTTTCTTAAATAGTGACACCACATTAGCCCACCTCCAGTCTTCCAGCACCTCACCTGTGGCTATTAATGATACAAATAATGGATATAAATGATTGACTAGGTTAAATGTCTTTCTTAGCCGATAAGTATCCTCTTAGTTGCAGTAAGTAGCTAAAAATTTGGAAACTGAGCTGGGGATTTACTCAAGGTAAATTTTGAAAGGGTTATTTTAGGACCTCGTTGTGAATAGTTCATTTGAACACTGCTGTTGATATAGCAGTTATTACAGTTTGAAATTTTTTAAGAGTCCCTTAACTAACTTCAGAACAATAATGCAGATCTCATTTACTGGTAAGGATTCAAATTGAAGATTCAGTTAAATAGGATTTGCAGAAAGAAAGATGCTGTACTTGGTTGGTTATTTTAAGCACCAGGTTGACTGTAATATCATATAGCTGTTTGACAGGATCGTGGTTGTTCTCAGATTTGTGATAGTACAATTCTCTGAAATGAATTATGTATTTTCTATTTTGCATTTGAAACTTACCAATTATATTTAATTGATTCATTTTATATTTTGTGAAATATCATCTTTCAATTTCACTTTATAGAATTTTACAGCACAGAAGAATACCATTTAACTTGTTATTCCTGTCACAATTCTTTGGAGAATCATCCAATTAGCCCCGTTTCACTGCTGTTTGGCCTACAAAATTTCCTTTTTATTCTATATATACCATAGAATATCCTTCAGTCCAAATTGTAACAATGTGCTGGATATAAACCTTTTCATTTCAAC